CCAAGGGCACAGTAAGAGAAGGGGACACACACAAGGCACTTCCATGGAAGATTTTGTCCTAAACAGGGTTATATTACAAAGGAACAGGTGAGCGTAGCTCCACCCATGGGGATACAGGAAGACACACCCATGCACGAGACATGGACCCTTGAATCCAAAAAAGGTGGGGAAAGCTCTGCCACATTTCTGTGACTGAGCGCCTCAGCACCCAGCCGAGGAGTGTGACTCAGTCACGTGCAAGGTTGATCTCCTACATGTAATACTGTGCATTTAAAACAGCCCCACCAGGCCTGGCCTCCAGCACCATGGCTGGGCTGGTCTTGGGCCTCTGTCTTTTGCTGGGTGACCTGGTACTAGTTGCAGGGTGGCCACTTTTACAGTGTCTCCATGTCTCTGGGCGTGACCTCTGGCTCCACTTATTCACTGTAACTGAGGGCTGAGGCATGACCTGCTTGCTTGGTAGGAAGCTGTCTTGGGGAGACCCTGGTACCAGGTGCACATTCAGCTATTCCAGAGGTGAAGGCAGAGACAGGGAGCCTGGGTGGTGGTGCCCACCCAGACAGCAATTGTGGTGTCACCTTGGCTCAGTCTGGGACAAGGAATGATCCATGTCCCTGGCATCTGGGAGGTGGGGGGGGGCCACATTGGACCTCCACTGTCCTTTTGACCTGTGGAGGGGATATCCAGGAGGGACAGCAGCACAACCCAGGGATGCGATGCTGTGTGCTCGGGTTGCTGTGCTGTGGTGTCTCCCTGTGCTCTGCTGATGCCTTCTTTGTCTCTAGAGCTGCCACGAAGGACTCTGCCCCTTCCTCCTGACTGAGTGCCCTGCATGTAAAGGCCTGGTCCGCCTTGGGGAGAAGGAGCGCCATGTGGAACAGGAATGCCCAGAGAGGAACCTGAACTGCCAGCACTGCCAGGAGCCCTGTGGCCATGCTGACCTGGAGGTGTGCGGGGCAGGGAAGGACCACAGCTTGGGTTCAGTGCCACTGGTGGAGCTGGTTTGGCTCCTCTGCCTTTGTAACAACAGTGTCAGCTTTCCTGAGGCCATAGGGTGGGGGGTTCTTGGTGGGACTGGGCTTGGGCGTAATATCCATGTGGAGCAACTTTAGAAAAGGTTCAGGCACTCAGGTGTGGGGTGGTGCATCACTACCACCAAGCTGTCCCTTCCCAGACTGCTAGCCAACAGGTCTGACATGGCATCCCCCAGTGGTCGAAATCCAAAGGCCCTGGAGCGCAGTGCGTTGTGGCCATGTCTCCTATGGGTAGCTTTCCCTTCTAACAAGTACCTGAGGTAGTCCACTTACAGAGAGAAAGGTTTATTTGGGCTCTGGAGTACATGGTGGAGTAAAACTTCTGGGAGAGGGAAGGCAGGAAGAGGGAGGTGTTGGGCTTTCATTACTCCTTGGGGTGCACATCCCCAAAGGACTGAAAGTCCTCCCCTAGGTCTGTCTTTGTGTGTGTGGTGCCGGGGATTGAACCCAGGGCCTTGTTGCCTGCAAGGCACGCACTCTACCAACTGAGCTATGTCCCCAGCCCTATCTTTTTTTCCAGTTCTGGGTATTGAACTTCAGGAGTGCTTAGCCACTGAGCTACATCCTTAGTCTTTTTTTTTTTTTTTTTTGAGACAGGGTCTTGCCAAATTATGAGGCTAGCCAGGAACTTGTGATCCTCCTGCCTCTGCCTCCCTAGTCACTGGGGTTATAGATGTGACCACCATGCCCAGCTTAGGCCCCACCTCTTGAAGGTTCCATCACCTCCCCTCAGTGCCATGCTGGGAACTAAGCCGGCCACCATCTGAGACTGTTCAGTCTCTTCCTACCTCACTGCCCAGTGCCTGGCATTGATGTCCCCTCCTCATGCCCCTGACTGCTTCTCTTCAAGGCACACCATGAAGTCTGCCCCAAGTTCCCTTTGACCTGTGAAGGCTGTGGCAAAAAGAAGATCCCTCGGGAGAAGGTAAGGTGCTTCCTTATGTCCTGAGGAGCTTGGCTTAGGGTTTGTAGTGAGGGTCTATGTCACATGATGTGCCTAGAGCAGAAAGCCTGCTGGGATCACGGGATGGGCATGGCATGCCCGGGCTTGATAGCCAGCCTCCTGGTTGAGCCAGTGCTCTGCTTTCCGGCATACCTTGTTACTTTATTTTTTTCCCTAGTTGGGGATGGAGCCTTGAGTATACTGGATAAGTGCTCTACTACTGAGCTATATCCACAGCCAAAGTTATATCTTAATTATTGTGAAAATTAAACATTAAAGTTGTCCTTGCCAGGTGCAGTGGCGCACCCCTGTAATCCCAGTGGCTTTGGGGGTCTGAGGCAGGAGGACCATGAATTCAGAGTTAGCCTCAGCAACAGTGAGGTGCTAAGCAACTCAGTGAGACCCTGTCTCTAAATAAAATACAAAATAGGGCTGGGGATGTGGCTCAGTGGTTGAGCACCCCTGAGTTTAATCCCCGGTACCCCGCCCTCCCCCCAAAAAAGTTGTGCTTGCGCCTGAGAAGTGCTGTACTGGCCTCAAGCAAGGGGTCTGCAGCAGGAGACCAGAGTGTGGAGACCTCAATGTCTGGGGTCCAGGCATTCATCTCCTCGCATGCTCGTCTTGTGAGGAGGACGGCTCCTTCCCTGCGCTGTGGAGGAGGACCCCACAAGGAGGGACTTTGGGAATGCTTGCGGAAATGTACTTTGCCACACCTTTCTTCTTGGCTTGTGAGGTCAGGGAGGGGATGAAGAGGCTGAAGCAGCAAGAGCTGGCATGTGACTGCATTGGTATTAGAGGTCAGATGACGCCAGTGGTTGCATTTTGTGTCTGGATGGCAGCATGAAGGACTGTAGACTGTCCAAGCCCATCCTGTTTTCTTGGCCCTTCAGCTGGTGCCTGTCTGATTTGCTTCCATTTAAATAAGGGTCATGGCCCTAGTCCTGAAATGGGTTGCTCTGAGGGCCAGGTCTCTCTTCTCTGATTGCGCTGTCCTGTTGAAGGTTCTCCTATTGCCTTGGCTGAGTGCTTCCTTGAGGTGGCATTTGGCCTTCACCAGGGACTGGAGCTGGCTCGGGGGCTCAGTGAAGTTCAGCTTCAACCCTTGATGGAATGTTATAGAGGGCCTGTGATGGGTGTGGTGGCCAGAGTGCCTCCTGGTATCCAGTGCTGTGAGGCTGTCTGCTGTGGTGGCAGGTGCTGTCCCAGCTGGGTGTAGTCTGCAGTGTCCTCTATCCGTGCCCATCCACCAAAGCCAGGATGGATCCTCTCCCTGTGGTTTTCCATTATAGAGTGAGAGAACTGGCCTGGACCAGCAGGTCTGGTGGGCTTTGTTCCTCTCTCCTGTCTTTAGGGCATGTAGCTTTCCATACTCATCTTCATCTTCATACTCAGGGCCCTCATCCTCAGGTGCCCTGGGTCTGTTTCTCACAGGTCCCTCATCTGTGCAGTACCCAGTGCCAGTGTGTGGCTCCTCTAGAAAGTCCCCATCCAGGCCTGGAGCTCAGTCCTTGGTGGAAAGTGACATTTAGGGGCCTCAGTGTCAGTGCCCTATGCTCCTCTGACTGTCTGTGTTCCTAGGCCTTTTCAGAGGAGAGAGTGAAGAAGGAGTTCACACTGCTGCTTCTAAGAGTGAGGGGACTGGATACTGCAGGGCTCGTAGGGATGCAGTGATTAGATGGAGAGTCAGGGCCCTTGCCATGCTGCTGGACTCTTGGGGAGCAAGAGACCGAGCTCTGTAAGAATTTTCTCTCTCTCTCTCTCTCTAATTTTTATTTATTTTATATATATATATAATATACATACTTATATATATTTATATATTTGTATTGGGAATTAACCCAGGGGTGCTTTACCACTGAGCCATATCCCCAGCGCTTTTTAAAATATTTTTTTTCTTATCTTTATTTTATTATTTTTTTTAACGTGGTGCTGAGGATTGAACCCAGTGCCTCATGCATGGTAGGTGAGCACTCTACCTCTGAGCCACAACCCCAGCCCCGCTTTTTAAAAGATTTTTGAGACAGAGTCTTGCTAAGTTGTCGAGGGCCTTGAACTTAGGATCCTCCTGTCTCAGCTTCCCAAGTCACTGGAATTACAGGCATGCACTACCATGGCTAGCTCTTTAAACTTTATATTCTGGTTGGAAATCCTACTTTTTGGCAGCATTAATAACAATTTATTTGTTTTATTCTATGTGTATATAGATGATAGGTTTAAAATGAAAGTACAATAAAAAGAGTGATGTTTACAATTTCTTTGAGGTCTATTTTGTCTTTGGAAGAATATCTTACTGAGGATTGTGGTCCAAGTACTGCATTCTGAGGTCAGTTGTAATGCAAAATTTTTCTCTTTGTGTCCCCGACATATGCAGGCATACTGATACTGACATATGGGTAGTTAATTTGCTTCAATTATTTTAAAGGTGGTGGATGTTTGTCTTTTTATTTGCTTTTGATTTTTGGTCTGAAACACCTGCCTAACTCGTCAAACCCTTTAAGGGTCCACTAGAGCAGTCCCATGCTGACAGCTTCTCTGGGCCCTGTCTACCCTGCTGCCTCAGGTTTTGGTGGTATCTTTCTCTCTGAAAGGAGAGCTGGGAGCTAGGTCTTTTCATGCCCATCAGTGAGGCAGTTGTTGCCTGTCAATGATAGCAGGTGCTGGCCTTGGCTGTGAACTTCAGGCCAGAAAAACCTGGGAACAGTGGTCAGCCACAATGCCTTTACATGTGGTAATATATCTGCCACTGATGATGAGAGTGACAGTAACCCAGGCCAAGGTTTGCTGGGGGCACTGGGGGATGTCCCTCTCAAGCAGAGACTCAGGAGGCCAAACAGCTGGCTTGGTGGACCTGGACTCCACACATTTCCAGCTGTGCCTCCCCCCTACGGCCCCTTGCAGTAGGGTTCCAGTTTCCCATCCGTTATTGAGCTTTCTCTGATACACAGGGCTCCAGAGTGGGGTGTCTGGTGGAGGGGCTCTCACTCCTGCTCCACACTTTCCGACAGCCCAGTGTTTCATCTGAAAACACCTGTTTTTTAGGAAAAAAAAAAAAAAAAACTCTGGGGCTTCATAGCAATTTTTTCATTCCAGATCTTTACCTGAGTTTTGGTCATGTCTTCTTTTTGCAGAAAACCCAATCCTCTTGACTTGAACCTGGTGGCTTCTTTTGTCCCACTCAGTGCCCTAGCCCTGCACCAGCAGCAGTGTGAGTGCTGGCCATGTGGCTGGTGGCTGGCTTTTGATGGAATTGCTGTCTTTCTTTGCTTTGAGAATCTATAGGTTATGACTGTGTTTTGAAGCCACCAAAAGTAGTTCTCTGACTTATTGAGGCCGCTTATTTCATTTTGCTTTTGACTTTTAAAGATGGTACTTTAAGAAATGTTCCATGCTTTTGTAAAACGGTCCTGTGCCCCAAAAACGAACCTGTAGAATGTGTGCTCCCAGATGTCCAGGGATGTGTGTCATAGTGTTGGCCCAGTCCCCTGTGAGGCTCTGTCTGCAGACCTGCCCTTGGTGTGTGGTGTTGAGGGAGGCTCTGCATAGCACTGGCTGAGGGGTTCCCAGTGGCACTTCCCAGAGTGAGTGCACTTGCGCTCCTTGCTGGGAGGCGCCATAGGAGGCTCCTATCTGGTCCTTAGAGGTGCCAGGGGGTAGGGGTGGTGATCATTTGTTCTTCTGTGTTGCTTAATGGTGTGTTTAGCCCTCTATGTGGGGGCAATGTCTGAGGACTTCTGTCACTGTTCCTGGATTCTGACATGTAGTTGGGTGTACCCCACTCCGGGCCTCCTCCCAGGACCTGTAGGATGACTTTCTCACGGTGCAGCCTGCAAGTGGAGTAGGCAGGGCTCCCACATGGGCTCTGTCCTCCAGCTGCTGCCTCGCGCACTCAGGCTGCTTGTCAAAGCAGCAGTCCTTTTCCTCCCCTGGTCTGAGTACAGTATGCAGAATACCTGCACTGGGGCCTCTTCCTGGGTCTCGTGCACTCCTCTGTGGTCCATCTTTGCTCTCCTGCCGTGGCACATGCTGAGATTGTCAAAGGCCTGTCTTGTCCTCTGGCACTTCTAGGTTGTGGGCCCATGTGTGGCCCCCAAGGCCCCAGGGCCTCAGTGCCATGCATCCTTGCAACTGAAGGTGATTAAGTGTGGCTATTTTCTGTGGGACGCAGACTTCCTCATGAACACCCTGGACTCCCCACCAGCATCCTGAGATGCCAGCCCACCTCAGTTACTGACAGGGCTGGTGGCCAGGATATGTGTGTGCACAGCTTTGGAAATGTGTGGTCAGGTTTTATTCTGATGAGAACTAGCCTGTGACAGTAGGGCCAGTGGTTCTCTGTGTAAACTCTGACATGATCAGTGCAGAAGGGGTTCAGTGGGGTGAGCTAAAGCAAAAGCAGCCCATGTGACTTCATCCCTTTCACCCCTCCAGTTTCATGACCACGTCAGGACGTGTGGCAAGTGCCGGGTCCCCTGCAGATTCCATTCTGTTGGCTGCCCTGAGATGGTGAGTCCAAGGGTCTTCAGTGAGAGATTGGGCAAACCTGTCCCTCATCCTGGGCACGGTCTTCACTCAGCCTGCAGTGCAGATCTTCCTGGTTCCCCAACCTCCTTGCTTTTCCCCTGGGTCTCCTTTGTGGCACCCCTCCTCCTGGCCTCAGGTCCCAAGTCCAGCCTGGGAACTCCATTCACTCTCATTCTTTTGGAGATCTCATAGTGTCCTGGCTTTAACCAAATGTGTGTGTTCACCTGGCACCTAAGCCTCCCTTGATGCCTGTTGGGCATCCCATATTCACCACAGCCAGCTTGAGTCATCCTGCCATCCCCTGCCTTCCTTCTGACCAGAAAAGAGCACCACCATCACCTGGTTGTTCAGCCAAAGGCCCTATGCCTGGCAGTTGTGCCACATGTTGCTCTGGTCCAGACTTCACATCCAGGTGATAGATGCTTGACTGTTGGCAGCTGCACCCTGCCCCAGGATGGCTGCTCTGGTCTGTCCTTGCTTGCAGTCCCCGAGCTTCTCCATCCTCACCCCTCCCTCACCCTAGTCCTGACCTCTGCTGGTGACTGCTGATCTGTTCCCATCCCAGGCCCTTGACCTGACAAATTCCAGGGGCCCCTCAGACCTCAGCATGCCCCTCCCTGTCCATGAGAACCTTTCTCTACCCATGCAGACCAACCTGTACTCTGCTCTGTTTTCACAGTCATTGTATCTTGTCCCTCTTGCTCTGTACAATGAGAGCCCCTTGAGGTCTGGACTCTAGTTTTCCCTCGGGAGGTGCTGGGTTGGTGGGCAGCCCGAGCGCTTGCAGGTCTGGGGATAGTGTCCACCAGCTGATGCCTTTTCCTCTGGAAAATGAGCTTAGCAGCATTCAATGGTGGCAGCCGTCATGGTGGGGGGTCCTGTCTGGTGATTTTTCACATAGCTTTTTGTGTTGAGCAGTGGTGAAGAGGAGAGCTGCTGTTGTCTAGGAGGAGTGGGGTTTCATGCAAGAGGTAGTTTTAGAGCCCACCACCAGGGCCAGTGCTACTGCTTTCTGGTCCCTGTTGTGGGCCTCTTCAGTACTCAGATTAACTCAGAACCCATCATGAGTTCATGGGTTGCTCCAGATCAGAGCAATGTTGCTGGTAACCTAGTTGATCCAGCACTGATGCCCCTGCTGGTGAAGCTAGCAGGCCTCTGGGAGTTGCATTTCTTCATCACACACATCCTGTTCCCAACGACCTCATGCCTTGAAGAGAGGGCAGGTACCAAGGGCACCCTCTGCTTTTTGGGTGACTGTGCTTCTAACTGGGCACCCAAATGAGTACCTTTGTGTCTTTTTTTGTTTGTTTGTTGTTTAAATTGTAGATAGACAGAATACCTCTTTTTTTTTTAAGTTGTAGTTGGACACAATACCTTTTTTTTAAATTTATTTTTATGTGGTACCAAGGATTGAACCTAGTGCCACACACGTGCTAGGCAGGTGCTCTATCACTGAGCTACATCTCCAGCCCGCCCTTTCTGGTTTTTTTTACTTTTAATTTTTGAGAGTTTTGAACATTTTTAAGTTGTGTTACAGAAGTTTGAAAAATAATTAGTTGCAAAGACAGACCTATGATAGAGGTATCCCTAAGAAAGCCTGGTGGTGTCTAGCCCTGCCTTCCTACCCTCCTGCAGGGACAGCTGTTTCTGTGCCTGGAGGCCCTCCTTTTTCCTTTGTCTATTTATTTTGTGTTGAGTCAGGGTCTCACCGTGTTGCTCAGGCTGGCCGTAAGCTCCGGAGTTCAAATGACCCTCCTGTGTCGCCTGCCTGAGTGCTGGAGCTAGAGGCATGCACCACACTGTCCAGCTCACATTGTCCAGCTGCCTATTTATTTTAAAAGCAAGTTACATAGGAAGCTTTGTATTTTTTTTTAAGAGAGAGAGAGAGAATTTTTTTAATATTTATTTTTTAGTTTTCAGCGGACACAACATCTTTGTTTGTATGTGGTGCTGAGGATCGAACCTGGGCTACACGCATGCCAGGCAAGCGTGCTATACCACTTGAGCCACATCCCCAGCCCGGAAGCTTTGTATTTTTGAAACATACTTTTGGACAGTGGCAGATTAAACATCATGGTACTGAGAAAAAGGATGGAAGTGATTGAGCCCAGCTGTTACCAGTGTCTTGGGTAGTCCTGTGTCCTGATGGCCGTATGCCCTCAGTGGAATAAGGCCCACAGCACAACAGCTGTCTTGGCCAGCATTAGCATTGCACAGACATGGCTGAAGCCTCCTGCCCTGTGTCTACAGATGGAGGCTGAGGAGCTGCAGGAGCATGAGGCATATCAGCTGCGGGAGCATCTGGCCCTGGTGCTGAGCTCCCTCCTGGAGGCACAGACTCTCCCTGGGGTCCAGAACCAGGTAGGACCACAGCTGCTGCAGCGGTGTCAGACCCTGGAGCAAAAGACGACCACCTTTGAGAACATCGTCTGTGTCCTGAACCGAGAGGTGGAGAGGGTGGCTGTGACTGCTGAGGCCTGCAGCCGGCAACACCGGTTAGACCAGGACAAGATTGAAGCCCTGAGTAACAAGGTTTGTGCCTGGTGGGGTCTAGTGGCTCATCAGCTTTGGAGCCTAGGCAGCATAAACCCCTTCTGTACCCCCAGCCGAGCATGGTGCCTTCCTTCAGCTGTGGCCACCTACATTTCTCTGAGGGACCTGACTTGAAGGGTTGCAAGGTGTGACAGCCAAAACCTCTTCTTTCTGGCCGGGGAGGGTGGCATCAGGAGTGTCACGTAACTTGTGCTATGCAGCTTCTGGGCACACTAGGCCCAGAGTCTTCAGTGTGGACTTGGAGCCTCACTTCATACCTGGAAGGAACAGACCTAGGAAGAGCTGAGCCAAGGGAGTTGGGTTGGCTGTCCTCCTGAGACTGCTGGGTATGGGAGGTGAGGGCTTGGGGCCCATGGCGCATGTGGTGACCACTGCCCTGCAGGTGCAGCAGCTGGAGAGGAGCATTGGCCTGAAAGACCTGGCCATGGCTGACCTGGAGCAGAAGGTCCTGGAGTTGGAGGCATCCACCTACGATGGGGTCTTTATATGGAAGATCTCAGACTTTGCCAGGAAGCGCCAGGAGGCTGTGGCTGGCCGTACACCTGCCATCTTCTCCCCAGGTGCTGTTTCAGAGCTCCCCACTTATCCAGCTGCATTTCTGTACACCTGTGTCCCCTGCCCCAGTGTCCACATGGAACTACTCCTGAGGCAGGGCTGGGAGCATCCCAGCTGACACCAGGAGCATCTGTACTTCTGAGGCACCTCTCAGCTGGGCAACATGAGAACTGCTAGATGTCAGGCTGGCTGCTCACAGGGTGTGCCCCTTGCCACTGGGTGACCGGAGGGCACGTGGGCATGGTGATGGAAGATGGCCACCATAAGGAGGAACAGGGCGCTCTCGGGTGTCAGTGGCTGAGCTGGTCAACCCCTGTGGTCTGGCTTCTGGTGTCTGCTGCAAACTGGAGGCCTGAGGTCTTCTGAAGGGGACCTGTGGGTCTCCTCCGGAAGGCACTCCTGTGGGGCCAGGAGAGCCCTCTAGTTGTGGGCCAGTTTGTTTCTGTGACAAGGTCTGCCGTGCCAGGATTGTGCTTCTCAGCATGCTGCTGGAGCCACCTTCCTGGGTACTTCAGAGCACCTCCTCTGTGCCTGGAGGCCCTCCTGGTGGTGGCATGGCCCTGGCTGTCATCCCTGTCCCTGCTCAGGCGCATCATTGGCTCAGACTTAGATACCATCTCCCTGGAGGACACTCTGTTTTTGTGTTTTCTTAGGGTACCTGCTGATAAAACAGTAGGTTCTGGGATTGAGGCTAAGAGGCTGAGGCTCCCTAGTTGGGTGGCCTTGGCTTGCTGTCCCTGCTCTTTAGGGACCTGCACCACCACCCTCCTGTGTGGCACATCCTGTAGTGCCTTCAGCAAGGGCCAGAAATGAACAAAAATCATACACTCTGGCTTCCTTGGAGTGAGATTGAAAGAACAAGTTTGTCTTGGGAAGACCTCAAGGAAGCGCTCTGGGGCAGCCTGTGGGGCATGGTGCTTCTCTTTCTGGATGGGGTTTGGGCCGTGTTCCCCTTGGGCTTTCCTCTGCAGGTGGACTAGTGCCCTTCGTTGGACGTTTGTGGAGAGCCTGGTATGAAGGGCCATCATGGCAGGGCTTGTGTAGGAACAACACTTGTGCAAAAGGTCCTTTTTGTGGAAAAAGTCTGCTATAGGAGACTTGGTAACCTGTGCTTGCTTCTGGCAGTTGCTGCGGAAAGCAGGGAAGATGGTTTTCAAGTGTTATGCCTGGGGCTCTGCTCTGGGGACTGTGTTTGGCCTGCATTCCTCTTCAGAGCCCGAAACCAGAACTATGGAGAAGCAGGAGGAGGTCAGCTGCTGTTGGCAGGGTGGAACTGTCAGGGTGCTCCAGGGCAGTGTGGTGGGAGTATGTGGAACTGACAGGGTGCTCCAGGGCAGTGTGG